ACACACACACACACACACACACACACACACACACACACACACACACAATGGGCTCTAGTGGTATTAAATTTTCACCCAAAATGGCTTTTATAATATAGCAATTTCACGTGTAAAAGGCATTATGAATGAATTAGAGCATCATATGATGTGTCCTGAAGGAACAGCCATGGACTCCAGGGCATCGGAGGTTTAGAAGGAATTCTGTATGAGAGTAAATGAGTGATTTAATACAAAGCCCCCTGACTGAGAAAATCCATTAAACACAGAAAGAGGATTTGTCACATTAGTGTACAGTCGAGCTCTTTCAGTTGGTTGTTGGCTTTTCTTTTTCAATTCTGGTCTATACCTATGGATCAAAAAATATTAATTCATGTGACTACAGGAATTTTTTTCTTTTCTATGTATTTTTAGCTATGAAAATGGTAATGAATTACTTTTATAATGAAAAAAACCCACAATCATAAAAAATTAAAAGGATATATTTAAATGTCTATTTAAGGTTTTTCATTTGAATTTACTAGGCTAGTATTGGGAAAAATGAGATACATAGTAAAATAATACTTTTCTAGGATGAAATGTCCTCTTTAGTGAAAGGCTATTATTAAACAAACAAACAACCAAATAGCAAATTGGTTCACCCATACGTGGTTGTATATGCAAATTTAGAGTTAGTATTGATTTTTATGACTTCTCCTGAAGTTATGACATGATGTGGACAAAATGAAATCCACGCAAATGTTTTTCCAAACCAGCTCTTAAAAGAAATGATAGGAGCATTGGCTGTACCTTTTCTGAATGAGGACAATATAACATCTATCTGTGTTTTTTCTTTTGTCTCGTGGGGGTGTGTTTATCAAAAAGTATGACTCCTGGCTAGGTTATGGGAGAGGCCTATTTTGGTAATATTCCTGGAGGTTCTCAGAGGTTTAGAGACTACCCTGATGGCTGTCATGGCTAGCTCTGGTGAGGCAAACATGAAAAGGAGGACATTAGGTATTTTGGTCTCTGTAGGTAAAACATGAGCTTGCTGCCTGGATGATATGCACACAGACTGCTGTGTGGAATCCGGCTCAGGTTGCCTTCGTAATGGTATATTCTTTCTAGGTTGGGCTGCCTGAGAACCCGGTGAGCTGGGCTTTCAAACCCTACGAAGGGGAAAGGATGTCAGTTCAGTGGCTCTCACCATCCTCCTCATTAAAAATGGAGCTACCAGACAACTTCACAGTAAATCTGAATTACAAATGCTTAAAACACTCAGAGAGAAGCCCACACATGATACTCATGTCTATAATTCTAGCATTCAGAGCAGAAAGATTGTAGTAAATGTGAGTCCAGCCTGGGCTATGCAGTGAGTTTTATGCTAACCTGGGCTACAGAATAAGACCCTGTCTCACAAAATAAAATGCAAACATAATACAACACATAATAACAAAATAATAATAAAAATAACAACAACAAAAAACAAGTTCTCAAAGGCAGAAAATAAAGCAGCTTCTAGTCCCCCCCCCACGATCAAGAGATAAACTATAAATAGAGACTAACAAAGTCTATTACATTATGAGCCACTGAAGAAATGAAGTCACCAGCATAGCAACACTTTTTCAGACAATGTACTAAGGAGGAGCTTAGAACAAAACAAACCAAGTTAAGCTGTTTATCCCCCATGGGGGCACTCTTAGCTATTTTGAAGCTCCCTCTCCTCCCCATCAGCTGAGCTGCTGCCATGAGTCAGGGATGAGCGAACTGTGCCAGCTGTAAGCACAAGTTAGCACAAAATAATGGGGGAAAACGATTTTCTGATACATCAAGACTTAGTCACAGAAAGAAAGAGAACACAGCGGTTTCACCAAACATGACTACTGTAAGAAGAGAGCAGGAGGCACAAGACTCTAGAGTACTTTTGTGTCAGAGTCAATAAAGAAACAATTCCAAATCCTTAATAGGGAAAGCACAAATCTTCACATGACCATAAAAACCAGCATTTTTAATGCTATTTTAAACATTCATCTTAAAAATCTACTTATATATTTCCAATCACATGTGTGTGCGTGCACGTGTGTGTTCCTGTATGTGTGTATGTATGTGTAGCGGTTCAAGGATATAACCTTTGGTGCTTCTTCCTCAGGCACCTCCACCATTTTTTTCCTTTTCCTTCTTTGAGAAGGGTCTCTCACTGTTCTGGGCTCACCAAGGCAAGGCTGGCAGAAAGCCCCAGGGATTCTCCTGTCTCTGCCCTCTCAGCATTGGGATTCAAAACCACCCCTCTTTTTATGTGAGCTCTAGGGATAAACTTAGGTCCTCCTGTTTGCAAGGCAAGAACATTACCAATTAAGCTATCTCCTCAGGTCTCAGGACAGTTTTCAGAATGCAGGAGGCATGCTTGGACACCTGGGACCATAAAGCATTTGGATGAGAAAGTCTTCTAGGGATTGATGTTCTAAAGCAGCCCTGGCTGTTTTTAGAGTCATTCTAGGTATTTCCAGAAGCCGGAGCACAGTGATCGCCTCTGAGGCTTCAAAGAATGCAGAACAGCAAAATCCTCTGGAATCATAAATTCAAAACCTGTAATTATGGTTATTTAACAAAATGGGTTCTGTTAAGATATTTGATGATGAAATCCCCATTCTCTTAGATGTCAGTGCCCAAATTTTATTCAACTTTTACTTATGAGTAAATGTATTATAACTGTTATTTGATTAAATGTCAGTGGCCATTAGGCCCTGCTCTTAGGTAAGAAGGCTTAACCACGGCATGCCCAGAGGGTGTGGAATGGATTACAAAGAGAAATGAAGAAAGGAGGATTGTTTTAGTGACTTGGCAACAGTGAGGCAACATTTCACCTTAAATAAAGTAATGACAAAAGCTTTAAAGAAGCAAGAACAACTCTGGCAGGAAAAGGAAGAGGTGACCAGAGGTGGGAAGGGGGTGAAGTCAAATGACAAGTGTCACAACATGGAACAGCAGCTGAATTTGATGCACTGCCTTGTCCTCTTAATTACAGTGCCAGTGAGGATGGTCAGCTTTCCTCATTTCTCCTCCACACTTGAAGACACTAGCACTCCTGGGCTTGCTCTGGCTTTCAATATAGAACTATTTTGAAATAATTTTAGACTTATAGAAAAATAACAAAAATAGTACAGAATTCTTATACACTTCTCATCCAGCATCACTACCCCAAACATGCTGTATTAATTACTTTTCTATTGTTGTGCTATTTAAGAAAGAAATAGCTTATTTTGGCTTAGTGAGCTGGAGTCCATAATGGTGGGATTGGCACGACATGCTGGCAGGAGTAGGAAGTGGCTACACGTCATCTGCTGCACAAAGGAAGCAGGGAGCAAGAACTGGCAATGAAGCTAACCTCAAAGCCTGCCCCTAATGACTACTTCCTCCAACAAGGCTCCACCCTCTAAAGGTTTGCAACATCACTAATGGGAGAACAAGGGGTCAAATACATGAGTGTATGGGGGACATTTCTCATTCAAACTACCACATATACCTTAGCTGACCTTGTGTGTTATGCAGGATAAAAAAAGTTTAGTATTTACATAAGAGTTTCTTTTTATCAAGATGTATTGCTGGAAAGCATTAAATCCTACTGTATAACAAGTGATCGGGTACTGGCTAAGTTCTTAGAATATACCAGTTTTTTGAATATTCCTTGCTTGGCTAAGATATTTTCTATCTGATCAACCAAAACCATCCAGAACCCATTGGAATTAATATTTCATGTTGCAACTGTAGACGCTTAAAAGACTTGCAACAACCTTAGAAAATTATATCTGAAATTTTCTTTTTTCAACAAGAAAATGTCTTTTACTTTTGCAGAATGGGAAACACTCAAACTGAGCAACATGTAGTTTTAATAAGACCTAGAAATGCAATGTAAATGAGCATATCATTTAATAAAAGACAAAGTCTTGCTGTCTTTTAAAGTCACCCCCCATACACACAAATACACACACACACACATACACACACACACACACACACACACACACACACACACACACACACCTTGACTAAAACTACAGATTATACTTTCTAAGTAATTTCTGAAGGGTTGGCAAAACTGTTAGGTATTCCAGTAACCTGATGTCACACCCTCTGTAAACTGTGTTTCTGGTCCCAGCATTCTGAAATGAGGATTATCTACTGTATCACATGAGGCAAGCACACATACAGTGAAATGAGCATGCCCTATTACTTTGCATACTCTCCTTTGCATAGTGTTCTTTAGAGGAGGCAGAAAAAAAAAAAAAAACGCAGCCCAGCTGGTACTTATTTTCTCTAGCACAGATTTTAATTTCACAAGTAGCAGGGTGGATATTTTGATTAACAAAAAAACCCAATAAAAATAAAGACCTAAAATCAAATCCTTTCCTCTATTTTCTTCCGGAACTTAAGAGGCAGGAAACTCAGTAATAAATACTGGATGATTTCTTCAACCTTTTGATGTCACTGAGTCTTCAGGAACAAAACTTCTCAAATTAACATCTCTCAAGCAGAGACACATTAAGACATTAACACTTGTCCTGTGGTTAAGATTGTTCTTTGAAAATCAGAGCCCACAACAATATTCCTTCAGAATAAAAATAGACTTAGTACATCAATTATCTGAGAAAGTATTACTAAATGGAGGGAAATCAATGTCCTGGGTGGAGGATGATGTGGGCTTGGGAACAGGACCATGAACATACAAGTGAAAAGCTCCAGTGGCTGCCCTGAGCCCCTTTCTACCTTTCTACAGTTTGTTCCACACCGTGGGCGCCAGGAGGTTTCATGGCTGCTAAGAAGGTCTGCTCCTAGACGTCAGCACAGGAAAGCATGTTTCACAACTGGGCTCACTTCCCGCATCAATGAGAAATGGATCTTAGGAGAGACATGGATTCCCTGTGTCAGGCAATGTGGGGTTTAAACACTGGTAGGTATTTGGGAACTATTTACCATCTCCAACTGGATGTTTTGATTTAAAATTAAACTAGGTCTACCTTAAAACATGACTTATTTTCTACTAGAAGGTATATTCTTAATTTACCAAGATAGGGTTTTATTAGCTGAGAGCATTAAGAAAACAACCTACATTTATCCTAACCCCAATTAGGGTTTTTTAGAGAGAAGTTCATCTTCCCTCACATAAATGAACACTGGTGCATCCCTGTTGACATTTTAGGCTGTGACCTTGTTTTCATGATCCACCCTGGCTTCCCAGCCTGCATACTCATGTAGTGAGATGAAGAAGATACTCTTACCTTTAAAGAAATTACACGGAAGTTCCATGGAGTGTTTCTAAATCATGTGACCAAACCCAGCTGAAGGTAAGAAGAGAAATGTGGCAGCTTATCTATATAGCAAAATATCTAGCTACCAGTTAGAATTTTGTAATCCAGAAAGAAGAACATAAAATCTGGGTGTCAGGCAGCTGTCTCTGCCATAGTATGTGACTGAGGAACAAATACATTAATTTTATGCATCCCAACTCACCAATTTCCAGAACTAAGTTTTGCAGTCATAAAGATCTATAGTGAGTCTCAAATGAAAACATTGCTTATCAATATTTTAAAAATGTAAGTTTACATATTTTTAAACTTCATGGTGTCTTCTCAGGAGATGAGAAAGGGCCACACCAGACAGACAAGTGGCATCAACACAATACTAACTATAGAAGATGAAGAAGCATGAGTCTAGAGGGACACAGACTTCTTGATGCTTAACAGAACAATTCAGGGAAGGAAAGTGATATAAAAAGGAGCTGGAGAAATGAGTAGTCCACAGATACCTAATATTCTGTTTCTTTTCATTTATGTACACTATCCTAAATACTCTTGACCTGCTCTATTCTAGCCCTTCACCAGAAGCCTAGATAAGGCTAAAGGAAGTACATCGATTTCAATTTCATCAAAGAGATTTTTATTTTGAGAAGTCTATGAAGAGAAAGCATATATCATGGCATTCAAAATATATCTTCAGAGGACTAGACAGTGTTAAACAGGGCTAACAGAATTCCAGCCCAATCAACATATATTCTATATTAACTCAGGGAATGCAGTATAAAGGAGCCTTAACAAATGACTACTCTCACAGTTACCTAAGCACTTTGCCATGCTTGCTTAGGCATCGTTATATAAATGCCATCACTGCTGAGCAATGTCCATGAATTTTAACCACAATGTGCACACTTGCAGTGTTCTATGCCATCAGAGAGAGAACAGAGTGAGCTACATGAGTCAACTGAAGTCCCTATGCAGGCTTTTGTCTGACAAACGATGAGAATGCTTAGGTAAGTCACTCCCCGAGGCACCTCTGCCTACATTCTCTCTTCCTCAGTACAGATCAAACATTCCTGGGTTCTGCCTGCATCCTGCTTCTCAGTCTGAGAGCCTTAGGGTTACTCATGGTTGTGGATCCATTCAATTCCACACTGGAATTAGCCTCAGTTTATTCTACTCATTTTTTGTAGAGAAAGAATGGCAATTTTAATGCAAGAAATTATTGACTCCTCAAGATTGATCTACTTTAATTTTGTGCGTAAGGATGTTTTGCCTATATGTACGCATGTACACCACACGTATGTAGTGTCTACTGAGGTCAGAAGAGGGCTTAAATCACCTGGGAATGAGAACTGCAGACAGTTGTGAGCCACGGTTTGGGAGTTGAGACCTGAATCTGGATTGTCTGCAAGAGCAATCAGTGCTCTTAACTGCTGAGGGATCTCTCCAGCCCCATATTGGAGTCTTAAAATCTGGGAAATATACGTTTCAATAATGTGATGTGAATGACACAGGCATGCGTGGCATGACTTTCTCCATCTCTCAACTGTAGCTCAGAGGTCAAGTTTCTTTTTGTTCCTTCAATTTCAGGTATCAAGAGGTCTGTAACATTTATAATGGAAGGGAGTCTAAAGAATCTATGTATTCAGGGTTGGAGGGAATCTCAATGGTTAAGAGAACTGGCTAGTCTTCCAGAAGACCTGGGTTTGATTCCTTGTACCCATATGACAGCTCACAAGTGTCTATTACTCCAGTCTCGGGGATTTGATGCTCTTTTCTGCCCCCCCCCATAGGGTACATAGAGAGGCAAATGGCATACACATAAAAATAAATCAACAATTAAAAAAAGAATCTGTGTTTTCATAATAGAAAGAGAAAGGAGAGGGTTGGAGAGATGGCTCAGAGGTTAAGAGCATTGCCTACTCGTCCAAAGGTCCTGAGTTCAATTCCCATCAATCACCTGGTGGCTCACAACCATCTGTAATGAGGTCTGGTGCCCTCTTCTGGCCAGCAGGCATACACACAGACAGAATATTGTATTCGTAATAAATAAATAAGTAAATAAATAAATAAATAAATAAATATTTTTTTAAAAAAAAGAAAGAGAAAGGAGGGAATTCAGGTAGCTTTGAAAGTGGGAAATTTAACAGAGCAGAGCCAGGAACATTATGGCTTCACAGAGCTCCTCCTCCACATGGTCCCTGCTGGAGTGATGTGGTCCAGTGTGAGACATATAAGATCTACCAGTGAACTACATTAACGGTCTAAACATGAGACATATAAGATCTACCAGTAAACTACATGAACGGTCTAAGTGTGAGACATATAAGACCTACCAAAGAACTATGTGAATGGTATACGCTACCAGGTGAATCACACAATGGCCAAATGATGCACTTGACCCTTTAAAATAAACAAAAGTCGCAATGAAACTTTCAAGCAAACAGTTGTTTTTGAGAAAAGTGTATCTAGATGTTAGTATTTAATCGGATATCAACGCCCTTTGAAAACAAGTGTGAAAAAGTTTGATGTCTGTGTCACATAAGCATGAAAGAGCAGAAGAAAAAGAGAACACCCACAATCAAACAGTATCAGATATTTGTAAACCCTACACCTTTCTTCATAGCAGAGTGTGCTGAGTGATGCTAGGGTAAAGTAGAGATTGTACAGTACAAGAAGAGTCTTGGATTTCTGGTTATAAACACTGTTGTGTACCTTCAAGTGCCTGCCATTTCAGCAGACAAGAGTGAAACTCCCTTTAGAAGTTTAATGTGCCTTTTCTAAAAGTAATAAAGGTATTGAGAAAGAAGAGCCTCTGTGGGCCCCATGGTGGGTGAGAAAACTGAATATGCCATGCAAAGAGAGTCTGAATGTAGGTTTATTTAAGAAGAGGGTATTGGTAGGGTAGAGGGGAGGAAGGGAGAGACATGTAGACAGACAGAGAGAGAGACGAGAGAGAGATGAGAGAGAGAGAGAGAGAGAGAGAAGAGCAGGGAGAGAGGCAGAGAGCTGCCTCTTCAGAAGAATGGTGGGGAGAAAGCCAGGTGGTGGTGGTGCACGCCTTTAATCCCAGCATTCGGGAGGCAGAGGCAGGTGGATCTCTGTGAGCTTGAGAGCAGCCTGGTCTACAGAGAGAGTTCCAGGACAGGCTCCAAAGCTACAGAGAAACCCTGCTCTTAAAGGGACAGGGTACTGTCTGGGTTCATTCTGCCAGATGACAGGTGACAGGGAAGGCCAGCACAAGGCCTGACTCCTAATACGTCATCACACCCTCATATTACGTTATCAGAAGTATGTCCTATCCCACTAACCGAAGGGTGGAAAAAACCGAAAGATGAATAAAACAAAATAATAAACAGCCCTCACTGGATTCCTCCTGAAAATAAACCAGATCTGGTATGCCTTTGACACTTTAGAAAACACACTCTGTAGGAAAATGAAATATTTAAGCTGGCAAATAAAAATGGATTTGAAGGTTTGGTATCTTGGCTAATAGGAAAATTAAATTCAAGTCTGCAGATAAACCAATAGAGTATTTAAAAATTTGCCAGAGTAGCACAGTGTTCAATACATTTAAAGAAACATTTTTTCTTGAAATGTGGTATAGTTCTTGTAAAGAATAATTTTTTTTCAGGATAAAAAACTTAATGGAAGCACATTTTACTTTATATTCTGTGGACTTTAGTGGGAGTTTATATTTATGTTCACAAGTCATGTTCCTTTAAGTCTAAGATTGCACTATTCCTTGCAACTTTTTAAAGTAAATTACATTTATAATATTAAAGTCATTATTTAAATAAAGCACCTATAGTTGCAAGATCAACACAAGTGTGTGTGTGTGTGTGTGTGTGTGTGTGTGTGTGTGTGTGTGTGTATGTGTGTATGCTTGTGTATTATACATGGTGAAGAGAAGAGTGATCTTGTATGGTATGCAGCTCAGGCACTGTTTCTCTTGCTGGCTCTACCCATGCAAACTTATCCTACTGAAGCCACAGGTCCCTGCGGTCACAGAGGTACAGCATGACCTTGCCTTCTAGTCACAATGCCAGATCAAACAGTGGCCACCTCCTGAGATTTCAGACTGAAAATGCAGAGGTGGCCTGCTTCTCTCAAGGTGATGACACTAACCATATGAACTGCTTGTGGCATGTTATCTAGCCTCCAGGAAGAACAACAAAAATACATGGCTCACTAGGTTGAACAACACGAAGTCAACATAGACCAGAAACCAAAGGGTACGTTTTTAAGTGTCAACAAAATTATTTTCTTGGTGTTTCAGACTCCAGGGCTCAGCACCTCCATTTCTGTCTAGGATGTACAGAAGTCACAAATATTCCAACGTGAGAAACTACTCCGTGGAATTAAGCACATACCAAATAATGCATCTCAGGGGAATACATAATTGACTCTTCATGTGATCTGCAGCATCTAACGTGAACTCATAAATCTATGATGCTTGTGCTTACACAGTCTGTATACCAATCACAGAGGTAATATATATCAACATTATCTGCATCAGTATACTGAAAAAATGA